CCTCAGGCGTTTCAATGAGCAGCTGAGCACATTAAGCGTTCACATCACTCAGCGCCTCCTCTCACTGGGTGGTGGTGGTGGTGATGTGCCATGGAGTCGGTTCCGACTCATAGCGACCCTGTACAGGGTTTCCGAGGCTGTAAAGCTTTACGGGAGCAGAAAGCCTCATCTTTCTCCCGCGGAACTGCTGGTAATTTCGAACTGCAGCCCAATTCGTAACCACTACACTTGCATGTAATCTTCCTGTCAGCCACGGGGAGCAGGTAGAGGACCAATGTAGGGCTCAGAGAGGTAAAGGCACTTGTCTAAGGCCACACAGCAGCTGTGGGTGACATCTCTAATCAGGAGTCTTTTCCATTCTGCCATTCGGTGGCATCTGCTGACATCAGGTCTGGGTCTCAGGTTTCCGAGCTATCAGTTGTTGTGGCGGTGTTCAAGAACCGGGACCACCCACTGCAGTAACTGGGTCCCAGGGTTGTGCCAAACATAGCCAGGGCAGCCCAGTCATGAGTGTTTGTCATCTGCCTTGCTGGTCATCCACTAACCAGAGAGCTCCCGTGACAAGTATTTTGAAGTCATAACTTCCTGTAGCTCCCCTCCTTGGTGACCCTGCTTGCTGACTGTCCTGTCCTCCAGGCCTCCTCCCTGCTGCTTCCTCGGCTGGGAGACCCCCTCACTCCTTTGGCCTCAGGTCTCTGAGAATACCACCCGTCCGTCAGAGCCCATCTGCTAGGCACACGCTGGCTTGGTTGAGTGGAAAAGAGCACATACAATCGTCACCTTTACCGTATTCTATTTGTTGACCTGAGGAGGGGTCTACACAAGGGATTGAGTACAGGAAGGGGGAATCTGAGTTCCCTAGTACCGCTGTTAACAGAAATACCACAAGTGGGTGGTTCTCACCAACAGAAACTTACTTTCTCACAGTTTGTAGTTGCTAGGCATTAGCAAGTTGATTTTTAACTCATAGTGACCTCATGTGATACAGTAGAACTGCCCTGAGGGTTTCCAAGCCTATCGTCTTGAGAGGAGAGGTCAGCTGGTGTATCCCTCAAAGCAGCTGGTGGATTTGAACCATCAACCTTTCAGTTAGCAGCGGATCGATTACCCATTGTGCCAACGCTCTTTTTCTCACAGTTTAAGACTAGAAGTGTGAATTCAGGGCAGTAGCCCTGAGGAAAGTCTGTCTGTGGGAGAAGGTCCTTTCTCTCTCTCTTTTTTAAAAACTTTGTTTGCTTTTAAAATTTTTGTGTGTGAATTGAGTGATGGTTTACAGAACAGATCATCAGTTTTGCCTCACTACATGGTTGCAGTCCCCTCCATGTAACAACAGTTAACAATATTGACCTCTTCACTGTAACTTTGCATTCCTCCCTGTGTAATCCTACCTTCAACTTTCCATTTTTCCTCTGCTAACTTCCCATGTTAGCATGTGTCTGTCTTCTAGCCCACGAATGATTTTCCCTCCCCACCCCCTAACCATCATAGATTGTTTCTTTTATCTAGAAAACCTTGTGTAAACTTTTTACAATATCGGTCTCATACACTGCCCTTTTGTGACTGACTAATTTCACTCACCATAATGTCTTCTAGGTTCAGCCATGTTGTAAGATGTTTCACAGATTCATCATTGCTCTTCAACATTATGTAGTATTCCTTTGTGTTTATGTATCAAAGTTTGTTTAACCGTTCTTCTGTTGGTGAACATTTAGTCTGTCTCCATCTTTTTGATATGTCTCTTGTAGACAGCATATTGAAAGATCCTGTTTTCTTATCCATTCTGTTCTTTATGTCTCTTTCTGAATTTACATTCAGTGTAATTATCAATTGGTATGAATTGTTGTCACTTTTTTGTGCGTTTTTTTGTGATGCTGCTGCTTTCTTTGTTCTGCATAATTTTCTATGCAGAGTTCATTTTGTTTGTGGATTTTCTTTTCATTTTCATTTCTGTTATGTTAATGTTTACTAAATCTTTCTGAGTTCCCCCTTTTTTTGTTTTGATGTGCAGGTGTATTCTTTTCCTTTGAGGTTACCCAGTAATTTATTAAAATTTTCCCCTGCTTGCAGCGGTTTGTTTTATCTTGAAATCTACCTCACTTCCTTGCCAGTTGGAAGTTCTGTATCTAGGCTATCCCCTCTTGTTGCTTTGAAGTTGACTTCATTATACATTGATATATCTCTGGTTGCCAATTTTCAGTCTTGCAGGTTTGTTTTACTTTGAATATTTCTTTATCTGGATTGAGTTCTGGGTGGTATAGTCATGAATGGGAATCTCAGGTTGTTGTCTGTTGTTGGATCTCAGTTCAAAGAACAGCCATTCGCATTTTTTGCAAAATTGGTCTCGTCATTACATACTCCTTTCATTTCTGTTTATCAGGAAATGTCCTAATTTCACTGCTGTATTTGAGGGACATCTTTGCTGGGAATGTGATTCTTGGTTGGCAATCTTTGTCTTTTAGAATTTTGTATATTCATTCCATTGCCTTCTTGCCTTCATGGTTTCTGCTGAGAAATTAGCGTTGAGTCGTATTGATTCTACTGTGTAGGTAAAACTTCTTTTTCTCTCGAGCTGCTCTCAGGATTCTTTCCTTGTCTTTGATTTTGAAAAGTTTATGATGATATGTCTTGGTGATTTTCTTTTGGGATCTATCGTGTTTGGGGTGCGTTCAGCTTCTTATATGCTTATCTTCTTGTCTTTCATGATGTTAAGGAAGTTTTCTACCAGCATCTCTTGGACAGTTTTTCTCTGTGCTTGTCTCTTTCTGTTCTGGAATTCGGATTCCTCTTCATGGTGTCCCACATAATTCTTATGCTTTCTTCACATTTTTTCTTGCTTTTTTCTCATTGTCCTTCTAGCACACTGGTATTGAGAGATTGCTCTTCAAGCTCACTAATACGGGCTTCCATTACTTCACATTTACTCCTTTGCTCTTTCAGTGTGTTGGTCCATGTCTGAGATCTTAGTATTAGTCTTCTGGATTTCTAATTGCAGACTGTGTATTGTTCAAAATTTGCATTTATTTTGCTGTTCTTGTAGTGTTTCCTGAATTCTTCTAAGGTTTTTATTGTGTTCTCCTTGCTTTCTTTGATCTTTCTATCTATCCTTTGATGGTAACTAATTAACATTCTTTTGAATTCTTTTTCAGTTCTATTACCTTTTCCTCCTCAGAAATGTCTTCTGGCTCTGCATCTTGGTCATTTATTTGAGCCATTCTCTCTTGTTTCTTCCTATGAGCTAAAGTTGTCTGTTGTCTTCTGGACATTGTGAGGTTGTTGTATTTGTAAAAACCAATAGTGCAGTTGTTGGACCCTGCAGAGAGAAATCTCTGAGGGGCTCCTGCAATTCAGAAAGCTCATGAGGTGCTCGTGGCAGAGATGTGACAGGAGATTTCCTGACCCTAGATGGAGTTCTGTTGACCTCGGTGTTATTTATGTTCAGGGACCTCCATCTAGTAATTCATAGAGCCCCTTGATGGAGTTGGTTTCACTGTCTGTTGGCACCACAGGGAAGCTGTGGGTAGGGTGACTGGTTAAATGCTGGTCTGGTGGCTCTCTATGGGTTTTGTGAGCCTAGAGCCAAGCCCACCTGAATCTAGACCCAACAGTAGCACACCAGGACAGCCGGCCCCTACCTAACACTGGTGTGGCTCCCAACCAAGCAACTCCCGATGCTCAGAGAGCAGGGTCTGCATTGGGAGCTGGCCACGCCTCTGGTCACCAGGGAGCGTAGTAGAAAATAAATCATGCATTTTCTGTCACCTACAGGAATCTGCTCTGCCAGGCCTCCCTCCGCCACCAAAGCTGCTCACAAGATGGTTGAGCCTCGTCTGCCCAGCCGTTCACCTGTCAGTCTCCCTCTCACTGTCCCTGCTTGGCCTCTCTTCCCAGCAACACTCCATCCACCTCTCTAACCTTTCTTCTGAAGTTCAGGGAGCCAGAATTTTCATCTGTATTGTTTTATTTTGTGTCTCGTATCTTTATTGTAGAGGGTCCATGTAGTGTGTCTGCCTAGTCCACCTCCTTGCCAGAAGTCCGGAAGGTCTTGGTCACTTTCCAGATTCTCTTCATGCCTTCCTTGGCCATCTTCATGTGGCGTGATGTCTATCTTCCCCCACCTGAGCTTGCTTCTCTCCAGACGTAATCTGCCCTTTTATTTTAATTTTTTTTTAAATCTCAAAATGATTGAGTTAAGACACACCCTGCCACAAAACGACTCCATTAACTTAACAAAGAAAACCCATTCCCAGTGTAGGGGTTAGGATGTACAACACATATTTTAAGGGCTGCAATTCAGTCCACAGTGACAGGGGTCATTGGGAATCACCTCAGGGTTGTGGAGTGGCTTAAATGAGGCATCTCTTGTACTGTAGTGTCCCGGTTCCTGTCATCTGCAGGGCTGTATCAGTCATCACTCATTCCACTTTCTAGGGCTTCAGTGGCCCAGGGAAGAGTGAGGCCAGGACAGGTTGAGACCCCAGAATAGCCCTCAACAGCACGAGGTAGAATTGGGTGTGTGCCAAAACTTAGGGGGTCAGCCTGGGAGGTGGGGGGCAGGCTCACTAGGAGGGTCCCAGACCTCTTGTTCTGGGAGGCTGGGTCCAAGTGTTTAGGGAATTTTGGTGACAGGACTCAGCTCCTCAGGGACAGAACCCACGACAAAAAGACCTCTCTAGTCCTGGTTCTGCAGGGGAAGGAAAATATCTGGGTTTGGAAGGTCCTAAGTTCCCTGATGTGGCGCTGCGGGTTAATTCACCGGGCTGCAAAGTCAGTTTGAACCACAGGGTCGGCAGTTCAAGCTCACCAGCTGCTCCTCGTAAACCCTGTACAGTGTTGCTATGGATCAGAACCGACTTGACGACACTCCACAACAAAATTTTCCCACAAATGAGGGAAGAAGTGGGCCTGGGGTGGCAGTACTTCCTGCTCCCCTAGGGTGGGTGCTGAGTAGGGTTGAGGCTGGACTGCACCATCCTGGCTTCACACCAGCTCCCACCTTGCAGGTCTTCTCCATTGTGGTCTTTGGCTCCATCGTGAACGAGGGCTACCTCAACAGTGTCTCGAAGGGCGAGGAGTTCTGCATCTACAACCGCAACCCGAGCGCCTGCAGCTATGGAGTAACAGTGGGTGTGCTGGCCTTCCTCACCTGCGTGCTCTACCTGGCCCTGGACATGTACTTCCCGCAGATCAGCAGTGTCAAGGACCGCAAGAAGGCTGTGCTGTCTGACATCGGCGTTTCAGGTGAGCCCCTGCCCCAGTGGGAGAAGCTCAGTGTGGTCTGTTAATCCTCACACCCTGTGAGGTGCCTGCCCCTTCTCCCCATTTTACAGATGAGGACACTGTGGCACAGATTGGCAGCAGGGAAGAGTGGGACCAGGGCAGGACCCAAGACCACCCCCACCCACCCCTGTAGCCCCTGACTCCCCAGAGAGGAGGGAAGGGGAGGGGGAGCACATGGAGGGACTGGAGACGTCACTTCCTGTCTCCATGGGCTTTCTGTGGCTCCACCTGGTGGGGTCCCATGAGAAGGAAGCAGGCGGTGGCTGCAGGTCCTAGCACTTAGCCACACCTGGGCAGTCAATCAGGACCTGGGGCTGGACCTGCTGACCTTTACCCTCAGAAGTGGACTTTGACTGGATGCCTTGACCTCTGCTCCCATGAGTTCTAAGAATTTGCTTGGTGGATGCTTGGAGGAGGTGGGTCATCAGTATTTGGGAGTGTCGTGTCTAGGTCTGGGACTCTTAGGCAATGAGATGAACCCCGTCTTGGGTCACCTGGCTCCTTAGCACCCAGAGAACACTGAATTGCTCTGTGGTCAGGTGCTGGGCCAAGTCCAGGGAGGGACCAGGGCTCTGCCAGCTCCTCCTGGTAGAAGAGCCAAAGCTGTTTCCGGAAGATTGTTCACTTCAGACATGAACCCCTCCTGCCTAGGGTGGCACGTTCCTGTATTTGGAGTAGACCTGTCCTCTGGGCCTCGGTTTCTTCTAGGGCTTAGACTAAATTTGTGGCTCCCAGACCGGGTCCCCAGCAGTGCCTCTGGGAGGTGGACTAGGCGCCGGTGTCCATACAGATTCAGCCCACGCATGCTTCCTCCTGAGTAGCACTGGTCCTAACTGGGTGGGCCTTGGTCTCACACAGGAAAACCACCGCTAACCCTAATTCCTTCATCTCCCCCACCCCACCTCTACCTCGACTCTCAAAGAAACCCAAAATCGAGGGGCTTGGCAAGATTATAGGCCCAGGACTCACGGCCCACACCCACCCAGGTTGACCCCAACCTCCAGCATCACCCCTCTCCCCCCACTGCCCAGGGCTACTGCAGTAGGGTAGGGTAGGGGGAGCTGTAGGCTCCTTGAGGCCTTGCTGGCCTCAGCTGACCAGTGTCTTTTTCTTTCTTGTTCCTGTCTCCCTCCTTTCTCCACTGTCTCTGCCTGGCCTCTCCCCATCTGAACCGCACTGATACATCTTTGCTTCCGCCCTCCCCTCCCCCCCCACCTCACTCTATGGTGAACTCTGCCCCTTTCTTTCCTCCCCCACTTCTCTCCCCTACTCGCCCGCTCTCTTCATGCGTGGTCCTGTGAATGCCCCCAGCCTTCTGGGCCTTCCTCTGGTTCGTGGGCTTCTGTTACCTGGCCAACCAGTGGCAGGTCTCCAAGCCCGAGGACAACCCGCTGAACGAAAGGACGGATGCGGCCCGTGCTGCCATTGCTTTCTCCTTCTTCTCCATCTTCACTTGGGTGAGTGCAGCTGGCCTCCAGAGGAGCAGGGCTGGGGTCTGCCTGCCTCTGTAGTGGGCCTCACAGTGCTGCCTCCCTGGGTAAGGGGACTGTTGCCCTGCTAATGAGCACAGCCACTTGGTGACGGCAGACCCCTCGCTCTAGCACAAACCAGCCTTCCTGTGGGCCATGACCACCCATAACCACTCGAGGTGGTTGGGACTTATAAGCCCCATTGGTTAAGGCCTTCACAGATTCTAGACTGGAAAGGAGCCTGGGCCACCCCTAATTCTCCAGGCCTCTGTCTTCCTGACTGTAAATTGGGAGAGGTTGGATTTGGGTGTGTATTAAAGGGGTGGAGGTGAGGGGTCAGGAGCTCAGGTGGGGCGGGCCAGAGGTACGTGCTTGCCCATTCAGAGAGAGTCCCCTCTGCACAGTCTGTGATCCAGCAGGAAGGGGACCCACATGGTTGGAGAAGCCAGAAATCGAAATTTTATGTGGAATCTGATTTTCGCGTGTTGGCAATTTACTCACATTAAAAAAATAAATACCGTGTGGGTCCAAGAAGTCTGGTGGGCCAAGGCCACCCTGCAGGCTATGGACTAGGGGCTTATGGGCCCCTCACTTTCCCTGCCTTTAGCTCCGACTCCCACCCTAGAGATCTAGAGTCACTCATTTCCAGACTCCCACCCCAAGGTACCCCCTCCCCTCAAGGACACCCCTCAGTCCTTGGCTTTCTACCTGGAGGACACCCTGACCCTCCACCAAGCCATGCCAGCCCTCCTGTACCCTGACCCTCCCAAACCCACCCTGGGGGACTTCTTTCTCTCTTTGGGGGATCCTGTGGTTCAACCACTGGCAGAGCAGCTGTGGTCACTCTCATCTCCCACCCCCACCTACTGTCCTCAAGGTGGGTGGGAAGCGCCAGGTGACTCCAGGGAATCTCAAGTCTAGAGAAGGTGCCAGGGCTGGGGACCACCCAGCCAGCCCTACCGGGAGCCGTTCAGAAGTAGCCCACTGTGAGATGGGTGTGGCACTGACTCACTGAAACAGTACATGCTTGGACACCAACATTTGGGGGGTGGGTCTGAAGGACCTTGACTGACAGACACCTGCCCTACCCACCACAGCCTCACCCTGACTCTCTCCTGGCAGAGCCTGAGCGCAGCCCTGGCAGTGCGGCGATTCGAGAAGCTTACCTTTCAGGAGGAGTACAACACGCTATTCCCCGCCTTGGCACAGCCATAGGCCTTCTGGCTTACAGGGCCAGGAAGGAGCCCTGCTCTGTGCCCAGTGGCCAGTTCCAGGGGTGGCCTAGTGTCTGGAATGCATTTACCCGCAGAGGGTCAGCAGCCGGCCAGGGCTGACTCGCTCATTCATTGCCTCTTTGTGTGTTCTCCGTGTGTTCGCTAATTCATTCAGTAAACGTTTATTGAGCATCTGCTTGTGCCTAGTAATGAATCAGACAAGGTCTCTGGCCCAATAGCCACAGCCCGAGAGGGGAAGACTGACGCTAAATTCCCCACGATGAACTCCACAGGTTGTTAAGGGCTTGGAGGGGCTCCATGCATGGCTCCCAGGGGTGTTGAAGGTCTGAGGTGCTAAGCTGTTGGCACTCTGTAATGACCCATCCAATGGCAGTAGGCATGAAGCATAGTCTTCACCGTCCCCATGGAGACTAGCTACCAAGAGGAGGGGCCCTGGTCCACTCTGCTTTTATGTGCTGTATGAGCCTGGACAAACCCCTGTACCTCTCCGAGCCTCAGTTTACAATCTGTAGAGGGTGGGAGGTAATGGTGAGGATGAAACCAAGTCCAGCACAGAATTTATTGGCACAAGAATGCTCAATAAATGGGTAGCTCTTTGGTTGGTTCATTCATTCATTCATTCATTCATTCATTCATTCATATCTCCCAGGCATCAGGAGCACTTCCACAATCTCTACTGTAGGGGTGATGTTCATGTGGGGGATCCTTCTTCTAGAAGGCTCTGAACAGCTTTCCTCCTTGGGGCCCTCAGCAACCTTAGCAGGAACCTACCCTTCCCCCTCTATGTCTGTAGGAGTTGAGAAATTGATAGAACAGAAACAGATTCCCAGAGCAGCTCCTCAACCTTGCTAGAGGCTGGGCACACAGGCAGTGAGCTTCCCAGCATGGGGAGCATACAAGCTCGGATGGTTCGCTGCATAGTGGAGCTGCTGAAGAGTATACCTGCTGTGTGGAAAGCAGGACCAAAGGCCACCAGCCCCAGTCTCTTCCTTGGAAGCCCATGTCTCTCCTTTGTTCCTGTCTGGTGACACCTTGAGCTAATTGGCCTGTAACCAGAGGCCTTTCCCGGCCGGCCAACTCTACCCCATGCAGGAAACCCACCCAGACAGTGAAGGCAGGGAGCACTGGGAAAAGTGAGCCTACGTTCCCTACATGTTCATGTGGGCTTGCTAACAACTCGGGGTACCTAAAGCTTGGCCTCTGCCCAGGGAGTTCACTGCCTCCCCGTTGCTCAAGTCTCTGGTATCAGAGCCCCCATCAGCTAGGACATCATGTCCACGCAGAAAGCCAACAGGGGGCCACACTAATTTCCCACAGCCCAACCTCTTTAGGCCTGCTTTGCTTTTCCCAGGTCTTGCACTTGGAAAATCTGCCTTTCTGAGCTTTCTTTGTTATTGGTGTTAGATGCCATCAAGTCAGTTCCAACTCATAACCACCCCATACACAAAACAATGAAACACTGCCCGGTCCTATGCCATCCTCACAGTTGTTGCTACGCTTGAAGCAATTGCGGCCGCCACTGTGCCGATCCATCTCACTGAAGATCTTCCTCTTTTTCACCTACCCTCCTACTTTGCCAAGTTTGATGTCCTTCTCCAGGGAAGGTCCCGCCTGATAATATGTCCAAAGTATGAGAGACAAAGGGTAGCTATCCTGGCTTCTAAGAGCACTCTGGCTGCACTTCTTCCAACACAGATCTGTTTCTTCTTTTGGCAATGGTGCTTTTAGTATTCTCCTCCAATACCATAACTCAAATGCATTAGTTCTTCTGTGGTTTTCCTTATTCATTGTCCAGGTTTCACATGCACGTAAAGCTATTGAAAATGCTATGGCTTATGACTTGGGTCAGGAGCACCTTAGTCCTCACACTGACATCTTTGCTCTTGAATACTTGAAAGAGGTCTCGTGCAGCAGATGTGCCTAATGCAATATGTCGTTTGATTTCTTGACTGCTGCTTCCGCAAGTGTTGATGGTGGATCCAAAGCAAAATGTTGTCTTTAACAACCTCAATCTTTTCTCCATTGATCATGATGTTATTTATTGCTCCAGTGGTGAGAATTTTTATTCTCTTTATATTGAGGTGCAGCCCATACTGAAGGCTGTGGTCTTTGATCTTCATCTGTAAGTATTTTAAGTTCTCTTTGTTTTCAATAAGCCAGGTGTATCATCTGCATATTACAGGTTGTTCATGAGTCTTCCTCCAATCCAAATGATGCCACATTCTTCTTCATATAATTCAGCTTCTTGGATTATTTGCTCAGCATATAGATGGATTGGATAAGCACGGTGAAATGATACAACCCTGGCACACAGCTTAACTGATTTTAAAATTCAGTGTCCCCTTGTTCTGTTTGAACAACTGCCTCTTGGTCTTTGAACAGGTTCTTCATGAGCACAATTAAGTGTTCTGGAATACCGATTTTCCACAGTGTTGTCCATAACTTGCCATGATCCACACAGTTTAAAACCTTTGCATGGTCAATAAAACACAGGCAGACATCTTTCTGGTGTTCTCTGCTTTCAGCCAAAATCCATCTAACATCAGCAGTAATACCCCTTGTTCACCAGCCTCGCTTGAATCCAGTTTGAACCTCTGGCAGGTCCCTGTCAATGTACAGTTGCAGCCAGCATTGTATTGTCCTTAGCAAAAATTTACTTGGATGTGCTGTAAAGATATTTTCTGATCATTTCTACATTCCATTGGGTCACCTCTCTTTGGAATGGGCAGAAATATGGATCTCTTCCAATCAGTTTGCCAGGTCGTTGTCTTCCAGATTTCTTGCCATAGAGGAGTGAGTGCCTCCAGCGCTCCATTGTTTGTTGAAAAATTTCAATTTGTATTCCATCAGTTCCCAGAGTCGTGTTCTTTGCCAATGCCTTCAGTGCACCTTGGTCTTCTTCGTTCTGTGCCATTGATCTTGAGCATATGCTACCTCTTGAAATGATTGAACATCAACCATTTGTTTTTGGTATAGTGACTCTATTCCTTCCATCTTTGACTGCTTTCTGCATCATTCAGAACTTTGCCCTTGGAATCCTTCAGTATTACAGATTGAGACTTGAATTTTTTCTTCAGTTTTTTTTCAGCTTGAGAAATGCTGAGTGTGTTCTTCTTTTTGCTTTTCTAACTCCAGTTCTTTGCACATTTCATTGTAATACTTGACTTTGTCTTTTTGAGCTGCCCTTCAAATTTTCTGTTCAGCTATTTAGTCATCTTTTGTGTTGTTTAAAAGTATTTGTAATGAGTAAGTCATTGGTCTTGCAAATTTTTGTCATAAGGTTTTCTCTGGCTAAACATTCAGAAGCAGTCTGCCTTTTCTTCTTCTGAGTCTGGAAGCTCAGCTGAAACCTATCCACCGTGGGTCACCCTGCTGATATTTCAAATATTAGTGGCATAGCTTTTAGCATTACAGCAACATGCAAATCACCACAGTATGACAAACTGACAAACGAGTGGTGGTCCAAGCTTTCTTAAGTCAGCACAAATGAAAAACTGATACCTAGGCACTGGACTTCTAGAATTTTCTGTAAGAAAACACCAAGCACAAATCTCTCCCTAGCTTTCACTGGATGACCCTTTGGGGTTCCAGGTTAGCTCAGTGCCTTGTCAGGAGACTGATCAAAAAGAGATAGACTACAAGGGAAGGGTAGGACCCCTACATCCAGGTCTGGTCACTTGCCATAGTTTCCCCCTTGGCTATTCCCAGCATGCACTAAGGTGCCAAGGTTCTAATAAGTCTTGTGATTCTGAAACCTGTTTCATTGTGTTTAACTCAGCTCTCCAAACTTCTTTGACGAAATGTTTTTCAGTTAGAGGTAGATTTGGTCACAAGTGACAGAAATCCCAAAGAACAAAGTAAGTCACAAAGTGGCTTGCAGAAGCTCTTGGTCTGGGGAAGTGACCCAGGGCTGGCATAGTGGCTCCAGAATTCCTCAGTGATCAGGTGTTTGCCATCTCTACAGTTTGGACTGTGTCCTCATGTTCCAACATGGCAACTAGAGCTCCAGCTATCACATGTGCATTCTAAGTATCAAGTTGGAGGATGAAATGAAGAACATGGGTACCCCATTGGCCAGAATTCAGTCACATGACCATGACTCACTACAAAAGGCAGAGAATAGATTTCAGGAGATATTAACAGTTCTCTGTCCCGCCAAGAAGTGTTTCCCCCCATTGTATGTAATATACTGAGAACTTAGTTTGAGAATGATGCCAAAGGCCCATTTTAACACTCCACAGTGGAGGGCATAGAATGTTTGGTGGTCCGTAGTGACCTCTGGGATCAGGGGATGTTGGAGTAGGGGCTGGTCGCTGAGGTTCTTTCTGGCTGGACAATGTGTCTGGGCTGCTACGAAGAATGTCCTTTCTCGCCCTTTGTCCAGCTTGATTTCCTCTTTGGATCTTTAGGATCTTTAACTCTGTATTGCCTATGTCCTGTGAAGTAGCTCCCACTAACCCAGTGCTTTTGTCTGTCTCTCCCCTAACCATTCCCACCCTTCTGTCCTGTCCCCGCCGGCCCCTACCCAGGCGGGCCAGGCCGTGCTGGCCTTCCAGCGGTATCAGATTGGCGCCGACTCGGCCCTCTTCTCCCAGGACTACATGGACCCCAGCCAGGACTCCAGCATGCCTTACGTCCCCTACGTGGAGCCCAGCTCTGGGCCGGACCCCGCCGGCATGGGCGGCACCTACCAGCAGCCAGCCAACGCCTTCGACCCCGAGCCCCAGGGTTACCAGTCACAGGGCTACTGAGCCGCAGTGACCTCCTGCTGCTGCCTGCCCCTGCCCTACCCACCCTGGATCCCCTCCCTCACACCCAGCACCCTGCCGCCCTGCCCAGCATCTCCTCAGTCTCAGAGTTATCCCATCCGCTGAGTTCTGGGAGGGTCTGGGGGGTGGGTGGAGGCAGAAGGCATGGGGAGTGGGGGGATATCTGTGTAAGTGTGTGTGAACGTGTGTCCAGGGACATGTGCTCAGCCCTCAGCATGCGTGCTTGCATTCACTGAGCACCTGTTGTGTGTCGTGCCTGTGAAGGAGGCAGAAGGTGAGACGAGGCACAGGCGCTATTGGCACCAGCGATGGAACTCTAGGGGGAAGGATGAGGGGTGCCGGGCAGGATTGGCTGGGTCAAAGGGCAAGTGCGAATCCTGGGGGACACACGGGCTGTCACCTGCCAAACGCTCTCAATTCTCAGCATAGTCCTGCTGGAAGAGTCGGGGCTCCCCACTTTGCGATAGGGAGGAAACTGAGGCCAGGGTCACTCAGTGGGGGCATGGAGCTGAGCCCAGGACACCCTAACTGCCCCCACCCCCAACCTGGAGCTGCTCACTCTGGATGGCCCTGTCGCTTGGCCGAGACTGTGAAGTGAGCGAGTCTCCTCCTTGGCTCCCTCCAGTTCCTGAGTTTGCTTCTTACTCTTGTGTGTCCCATGGGAAGCTCCTTCCCAAGAACTCAGGGGACATCCCCCCTTCGTGGACTCTGAAGGACTGAGCACTGTCCCTGGGTGTGGGCTGGTACCCAGGGACTGGATGGCCAACGAGTCCCAGGAGGAGGGTGGGGCCTCATTCCCTGCCCTTGTGACCTGCCAAGAAACAGGCCTGACCTGGGACACTGTCATCTCTCCGCTGGCCTGGGATCAGCCAGGGACAGATTTCTTCTGCTGGAGGTTTCCATGGGATGACATGATGGTGCCCTTGGGGACATGGTAGGCTCGGGGGAGGCCGTGGCTGTAGAAGAGAGGAAAGCAGGTGTCCAAGTGGGCAAGGAGGGCTTCTTGCACAGGTGGGCTTTAGCTGAGCCTTAGGGATGGCAGGGGGAGGCGGAACAGGAGAGGGGCGTGAGGAAGCAGTGTGGTTAGGCCTTGGGGAGACCAGGGGCCCATTCTGCTGTGCACCCAGCCTCCAGAAGCTCTCGGGCCTGGGAGGAGAAGGCAAGTGATTGTGGGTCAGGCCCGGCACTGAGTGTGTCCACTACTATCCACTGTCCGCCCCTCACAAGAACCCTGAGAGATGGGGTATCATGCACTTGCTCGCTTGGTCAGTACACATCCTGGGCGTGGTTCCTGCACTCACGGAGCTTACAGTCTTTGAAAGACAACAACTATACAGAGTCCTCTGCAGGGCTCCAGGGGCAGACAGGGATTCACATAGCAGTAAGGGATGGGGAAGACGAGGCTAAGAAGTCGCATCAACTCCCTGTTTCACAGAAGAGGGAAGCAAAGCTCAGAGCTGAACTGAAAGCATGGTGAAGCACGGTACTGAGCTCGGGCTGAAGGCAAGCAGAGCCTCAGACTGCCTAGGAGCACCTGCTGGCTGCTGACTCTTTTCTTATGTCCCAGGATCTCTGTCCTCCTGAGGGGACCTGACCTGTGGAGTCTGATTCAGACCAGAGGATTTCTAGCAGACAGTTTCTGTGTTCACCTGCAGGAAGGAGGCTGTGCACTCCCTTTCTCCGCTCCCCACTACAACCCTTCACTGCCCATGGGCATGAGGAGACCCCAAGGTGCTGCCAACCTGCTGCTCGTGGGGACCAGCCAGCTGTGTGTGCATCAGACCTCTGTTCCTTCTACGTGGTGGGGTAATGATGGGAACCCAGAAGGCAGGGTACCCATTTAAACTCCCAGTCCCTGGGTACTGATTACAGACCCTCCCTGACTGGAAAAGGCAGGAGTGGAGTGAAACCAGATCATCTCACGAAGTGTACCCTACTCTTTTGGGGTACAGCCTAGGTGCTGCCTCTGCATGGTCCCACCATGGGGCTGGACACTGGCAGGGACCAGCGGGTGGTAATGAAAGCATCAAGAGGTGTCCGAGGGCAGGTGTAGATGAGTCCCAGGGCTCTGCCTCATCTCCTGGAGGTTCACTGAGGACGCTTGGAAACATCAAGCTCGTAGGCAGCAGGATCTCGGCCTCTCCCTGACTCCCAAGCTTTTCCCAGGAGCAGGGGCCCCTGCAGCCTGGCCCTGCAGAGTTTGGGTCCCTTCCGCTGCACCAAACACAAGAGAAGGGTTCCACACAAGATCGTGGAGGCTGCGGTGACAGTGACTTGTCCAAGGTCACACAGTAACGGAGTTGGAAGATTGGAAGCCAGTTCTCCTGCCTTCTGAATGGACACTCCTTCAATCACAGGCCAACTTGTCTGTGTGGCCCCTGTCTAGCTCCAGGTGGGGGTGTAGCCATTGAGGGGCAAATCCCAGGAGACAGATATCGCTTCTCCATTCCATCCTTCCCTGGTCATTGATCTTCAAAGACTCTTGGGGGCCCAGGATTCCCCCATGTAGCCAAGAGTCCCCAGTTGTTACCTTTGGGGACCCTCCCAACCTTAGCCCAAGACCCCTTGATTCTCCAAGGCGCTCGAAGAGGGAACACTCCTCCCCAGAGTTTATGGGAGGAAGGACCGGTCCAGCCATCTCCTAGTGCTGCCCCTGACCTGATACACCCCATCCCCCGGGTGCCCACAGCCCTTGTCTGGGTACCCCAGCCCCCTCGCAGCGTTACTGCCTGTGTATAGTATAAATATATATAT